GATTGCTGAAACTGTCATGCTTTGACCTGTATTGTTATATTGTTATGTCCTGTTTTATCTCAATCTCCCCCTTATTGTTTAAAAAAATTATTTAGTTATTTCTTATGTTTGTTTTAATTAAGGGGAAAATTAAAAAAAAATAGCAGGATATATAATAGTAACTCTTTTTGATTTCCTATTAACTTGTTTTGAAGTCCTGTAATACTCCCATAATCTTGCTTTGACTGATTAGACTCTTTTCCATTCTGTATGATAGTATCAAGTTTGAGGGTATAGGCAACTACTTTGAAGGCAATAAGATTCACTAAGATGCCCATTCTGGTTTGACTAATGTCTCCTTTGGAAGTCCTGTAATGTTTACAATGCCTAAGTTTTATTGGTCTTGTTCTCTACTGTTTTGTCCAACTTTATAATATCTAATTAGATAGACAATTCTTTTTAAGGAAACAAGAGACATCGTTGATAACCATTGTTTATAACCTTGTACTCTGTTTTACAGCATGAGCTATGTCTAGCCTTGGTTTTGACTGACAGCTTTGTTTTGCCAAATTTGACTTTATTCTCTCCCCCCCCAAAAAAGTAATAAGAACTAAGGAGTAATAAAAAACAAAATGTGTAAATTTTGTTGTAAAAAAGAGAGGGGAAAAAAGCTCTAATGGATATAACAGCAAGTGTGTTTAGGAGTGTTAATAGCTGACTATATTAATGTTTTTGCATCATTGAACACAGCTGTTTGCAGTCTCTCTGTTTGAATGTCCACTTTGTAATCTTTGATACTGTGATTTGAGCAACTATTTCTAAGATGATAATATGTAATCTATTAACAGGTGATTTCTTAAATTTTTTTGTAGTTCTGTGTTATGTGTACCCTTATACTGCTTTGTTTTGTTTTGTATTTTTCTTTTTCCTTTTAAATAAAATTAAAAAATTAAAAGTTAAAAAAAAAGACTGAGATGATGATACTTCCTCATAGTTGTCACTAGTTAGTAAAGCAACAGATATAATACAGGATAAATATGAAAACTTACAAGATTGGTTTCCAATGGCTGCCCAGAGCTAGGGAGTACAATAAGGCTGTCTGTACACTGGGGATTTGAAAGTTCCAGGAAAATGCCCAGGGACTGATGTATTGTACTGTGGAGTCCACGCTAGGAGGCTGAAGGGCCAATGCTGGAGAGGGAGAATGGCACTGAAAGCGAGGAGATGAATCCAATGTGAAAATTGCAGCTCCCCTGGCACAGGAGACCAATAATTAGTTTTGTTTCCCTCTTACATCCTGCTGATGATCCTCTCTAGGGTGATTTCTGAAGCTTCCACACCAAAGCCTTCCACACCCAGAATTATTCTGTTCCAATTTAGTTGAGCATTAGTGACTCAAATGGACAACCAGCACAATCCAACCCTTGCAACTTGACAGCCAGAAATGTTTCTTTAAACCATAAACTTCAGGTGCAAAGACCATTTTGTGATTATACCTAATCTTATAACTTTCCTACACACAAGCAAAAATGCACTCAGTCTTTCCCCAGGACAGAAGGCAAGTGTTATTGGGCTGATGCATGCTTTAACTTACCCTCTCTGTACCCATGGCCTTTGTGTAGGTGCTGCAGGAGCTGCCAGCAGACTGCTCTCATTCTCTGCACAGGTGAGGGGTGAGGAGCCCCTTTTTGCAAGAGGTGCCTGTATGCTGGGCCTCTCCATGCTCTTGGAACCCTGGCTCCTCTACAAGGCCCTGAATAGGGAGGACAGGATTGGTGATGGGTGCTAAGATCATGACATGTTAGGGATTAATCCTTGCTAAAATGGACAGGACCGGGATGGGCCTGAACATGTGGCAGCCTACTGCAGCCAAGGACTCTCAATAGGGATTCTTGAGACTTCAGGGATCCCCATCATACCTGCACATTTGGAGTAGTGTGCTACAAAGTCATCAACAGCACACATTATTTGTTTAGGATCCCTGACTTTCCCTGTTGCCCATGGGCTGAGGCTTGTCTGTGTCTATAATAGAAGAGGGATTGTTAAGTAACAGAATCTCAACCTCTGCATTCTTGAGCTTCAGTATGCACCTAGACTTAGACAGTACTGAAGTGATCCCTCTGGGAAAGTGAAGCTGAATGTGGTCACAGGTGTCACAGAAACAGTCATGACACCAGGGATCCTTTGTTTCTGAAGAAAGTATTCTCCTTGGCTGTCATCTTGCTTATGGGGGCACACTGGCCATGGTGGCACACTGTCCATAGAGGAAAGAGACTGCCTGAGGAAGAGAACTTAGTGCTGGTCACACCCAGTGTTCTGCTGGGCCCACTGTGATTCAGTGACGTGGTTTGTCCCATCTTTGCCTGGGTGAAAGTTGAGTCCTCAATGCAGTCTCACAGGCAGGCTCAGGTTAAAATCGGGCATTTGTGTGCAGCCCCCTTGATTTTGAGCTGTCATTCCATGCATCTCCAGTCTGTAGGCACAGTGACAACACTGTAAAATATGGCTCAGCTTCCTGTTCAGATTAAAACAATACATTTGCTCAGCATCTGCTAGTGCCAGGCACCGTTCTAGGCAGGACAGCCACAGTGAAAAAATGCACAGAAGTCTACAAGCCCCTGTCTCTGGGGAGCTGTTTTGTAGCAACTCTATTGCTACAATAATTACTGTGTATCCAGCTGTGTATCCATTCTCTTAAGACAAGTAAGTTAAGTCTCGGTATTATCTTTAATTTTTAGTTAAAGAAAAAAAACAGTAAAAGGGTACAAGTAATAAAGAATTAAAAAAATAAACAGTAAGAAATCACTAGTTAATAGATTACATATTGTCATGTTAGAAATAATTGTTCAAGTTACAAAATTAAAGCATACAAAGTAGACATTCAAAAAGTGAGACTGCAAACAGTTGTGTTCAATGATCCAACAAAAACTTAGTAATATGGTAATCTGTCTTACACACCTAAACACACTTGCAGTTGTATCCTTTAGAGCACTTTTTTTTCCCTCTCTTTTTACAAAAACATTTACTCATTTTGGGTTTTATTACTCCCACAGTTCTTATTACTTTTTTTTGGAAGAGAATACAACCAAATGTGACAAAACAAAGCAGTACAGTTAAACCAAAGAATGGGCATAGTACATGATATAAAAACAGCATACAAGGTAATCAACAACGGTTACCATTATGCCTCTTGCTACGTTAAAAAGAATTGCCTATATCATCATGTATAATAAAATTGAACAAAAGTACACATCAAAACCAATAAAACCTAAAGTTTGGAGACATTACAATACTTCAAAAGAAGATAATAGTCAAACCAGAATGGGCATCACAGTGAATCTTATTGAGTTCAAAGTAGTTGCCTATACCCTCAATCATCTTGATACTATCAAACAGAACAGAATAGAGTAAAATCAGTCAAAACAAAATGGTGAGAGCAATACAGGGCCTCAAATTAAGTTAACAGGAAATCAAAATGGTTACTATAATATATCCTGTTAATGTTTAAAAATTTTTCGCTTAGTTAAAAAATAATTAAAAAATACATTTTTTTAAAAAAGGGAGAGATTGAGATAAAAGAGGACATGACAATACAGGTCAGAACAGAATAATTTAAGCAACATAGTTTTCACCACAAGATAACCTGATTTAACAGTAGTTACCATAGTGTCTGAGTCTAGGTATTACTAAGAATAAAAGAAATCAAGTGATCTCTCTATGGCTTTTGGTCCCATGTCTTTCTGAAAAGGAACAGGATTAACTTCTAGAAAGATGCATATGCAGAAGGCTGATCAACTCTGTCATGCCCACTCTTTAGTCTAGAAATAGGATGTCCAAAGAGGCACTGTGATCAAAGCACACACAATCCCGAGGGTTATAAATAGAGGAAACTTGGACTTGAGTGAATTCCTGTGGACTGCACTAGGAGAAGCCCTGGCAGTTAAGAGTTTGAAGTTTAGCATGGACAGATGCAACGTATGTGCTGCGATAGAGCAGGAGCATGGACTTTGGAACTAGCTAATCTCAAGTCGAGAGCCAGACTTTACACTTTCTCGTTGGGTGATCTTGGTGCACGTGTTTTAACCTCCAGGTTTTTATTTTCTGTGAGGTGAGGATATGGATAAAAGTAATTGCCCATCGCCTGAAGCAAACCAAAGCACTTAATGACATCATAAAGCCTGCTTATCGAAGGAACTGACCTTTCCTTCCCTCCTTTTATGTTTAAATAGCAGCCACTTTTATACACTGATTATATTCCATGAACTGTTTTATGAACATGCACATATGTACATTGATTCTCTTGCTCTAATATCCTCTTTTCAGATGGAGAAACTGAGGCAAGGAAAGACCAGTGAGCTGGTCCAGAGTTTAAAGACAGTCTCAGGGCTGGGATGTGAATCCAGAGCAGTGTGGATTAAAGGAGAATCTGTTCGTGAGGACTTCAGTCAAACTGCAGATGAAAACCCCCACACCCAGTTCTCCAGACAGCATCCCAAGTTACCAGAACTGAACAGCAGCCAGGTGGCCAGTGGCTGGGGGTTGGAGGGCAGGGAGAAGGCTGAAGGCTAAGGAAAGGGGCAGCTTTGTTGTCAGGGTCCAGTTAGGGTTTAAGGAGCCACAGCTACAGTTGTGGTGTATTTAGCTGAGTTGGAGAAATTCCATCCACAGGCTCCCCATGCCTTCTCTCACCTGCTGCGAATTTGAGACATTCTGCAAGACCTCTGGGGTTAAATACAGAAGGACAAATATATTCTGTTCTGCTAAGGGCTGTTTTTCCACAGGGATCCTTGGACAGTGAAAGCTGGCCCCATAAATAATCACCCTGGGGCAACTGGCATAAACCCGGAGCTGTGGCCACATCACTTACTAAGCACAGCTGGCGTCAAACGTGGCTCCCTGGGCCCAGGTGATAGGTGTTGCAGTGAGGGGCGGTGAGGCAAGATGGCCAGCCAATGGGCAGTGAGGACAACACCCAGGGGCAGGATAAAAGCCCCTGTTGGGGCGCTGTGTTCTTTGCTCTTTGTCTGCATGGGAGAATATGCTCCTGCTCTCAAACTGGGTGTTCCTTAGGGGTTTTGTTCACTGTTTTGTTCACTTTGGGGCTGTTCTAGCATTTCAGTAGTTTCAGAGGGAATCTAGACAACCAAGGAGAAGGGGTCTTCTTCCCCTGTGGCAGCAGGACTATGTTTCTGGTTGTCTTCTTGACGATAGCCATTCTTTCAATGTATAAATAGGGGAAAAAACAGCGTAGACACTGGGAAGTTGGAGGTTCTTCAGATGGAAAAAGGAAGCAGAGATGGGAAAGGAGGGGTTAGGAAAGGATTTGAAGAAAGAAATTGAAGGAAAAATTAGAAACAGCTTTAAGTATGGAGGGAAAGAAGGATTAAAAAAGGTGCAAAAAAATGGAGATACTATCTACATGAGCAGGTTCCCTGGGGTGCATGTGACTGCCACTATGAACCTCAAACCTGCAATATTTTATTTATTTATTTATTTATTTATTTATTTATTTATTTATTTTTGGTGCCGGGAATCCAACTGACAACTTTGCATCTGCTGAGCAGGCACTGACACTGCTGAGTTGAAAGTCCTTATATATTTTTTTAGAACCTTTTCTCTACCAAACCTGGGCAGAGGTTTTGAATGTCAAGATCAGGAGGCTCAGTCATGAGGGAGGAAGGCTCTGCAAGCTAAGGCCTAAAGGGGAGGTGGCACAGGGAACTGAGGTGTGTTTCCCTGCATGCACACCTGCAAAGGTGTGTTTCCTCTTCCTGGGCATCTGAAGGATGAGCAACTGCTCTCAGTACCATCCTTCAAGCCCTAGTGTGGAAGGGGAAAATCACTGCCCTGCTCACTTGTGGATTCTGGGCAGTAGGTGGGACAGGGTAGCAGGGACCCGGCTCGCATTTCAGCCTGGGCGGCCCTGAGGAGGCCTCAAGGTGAGTTAAGTTGCTGGTTTCCTATGGGCCATGGGCTTTTCTGTGGCGCCACCCCACCCTACTGTAGTGCGGAAACCAGTCCCCAACTTCTCCCAAGTTAACCAACCACACCTTGTGCTGACCCAGAGCAGCTGTGACAACTTGGGTGCTGCTGATCTTTGCTGAGTGCTGGCTCAGAAGCCAGGCCGCCTCGTCCTGGCGTTTGGATTCTACCTCTATGCAAAGATAGGGGTGTAGCAGGTTGAACAACATGGTGCTCTCACCAAGTGACGACATCCTGGCAGTGAGAGGACATGGGTTAGAGGTCACATAAAGGGGTAACTTGGGTAACTTTGTCGAAGGGACTGAGTCCACTGCTGGTTTTACCCCTCCCCACAATGGCTGTTTCCCCCAATGGCAGCATCAGCTGTGTGTGGGGGGGCTGGGTCTAGGTCCTCACTACCCTGCAGGTATCTTTCCCAGCTGGGCTATATTTTCCCAACCCCTTGGGTGAGGGGTGCTCGGGGTACTGAGACCTGAACAAAACTGCTCCCAAGAGCCTTTGAAAATCCAGGACACATCTTGCCAAAGTGAGCCCCTCCCTATTTTACAATATCACAGCCGTATACTCACCATGCTTCTTAACAAGTACACATTGAATCCTTCAATGCAGCCCGGCTTCCTCAAATAGACCTAGGCTGCAAGCCTAGTCAGGTTTTCTGCCTGATTAGTGTCAAATGTTGGCTTTTATGTTCAAAAGTTTCAGCTGCTGTTGGGAGGAGTCTTAACTAGAATGAATTTCATGGGTGGAGTGAGGGCTCCATTTCAAAACCAACTCATGGTTCCTCTTTCCTGTGCAGGCTCCAGTAGTCCTCTTCCCAGCGTTTCCTCTGAAGGATGGCAGGGCAAGAGCGAAGGTCTGAAGGGGAGGGAATGGGAAGAGGTGATCAGGTGTGATGTGTGAAGACAGGAGTCATTCTGTAACGCATGTACCTGAAAATTTAGATGGGCAGGGGAGGAAACCTGTCCATGGGGTGAATCCTACCCTGTACCTGGCTCCCCCCCTGATTCTGTCCTGTCCTGAACTGAGTGAGCTCTCATTCCTCACAGCTAACCTCACAGGAGAGGCATCCCAAAAGAATGTTCCAACATCCTACTTGATGCTTAACACAAACTAGAGATCATAACAGTTAAGCAACTCGCCAAGGATCACTTCCACCTGGCTGAAGTTACTGGGCTGAATGTTTGAATCCTGTGTGTGCAAGAAGGTAGCCTCTGTGTTCTGGGTGGGTGTGGGGCATTGTGGGGTGTGGGTTTCTGAGGTGCTCATGGACGGGGGCAGGGCACCTCCATCTAGAGTTACAGGGGAGCAAAGTGATTTTAACAAGTGGCTCTGGGTTTTAACTGACAAATTAGAAAGCAAGTTTCTATAATCCAGTTGAACATGGAGGGAAACCGGTTATTCTAGATTCTCAATTTCCTCAGAACTGAGGAGTTTCCAGGGCATGGCTGCCCCACACTTGCAGCAGGTGACTGCATCCCAGTTGGCTGAGGATGTTCCTGTCCAAAGTATTCACTCTAGGTTCTGCCAGTTGTTCTTGTAGGACTCAGTATACTCAGTAGAGCTCAAATACATGTGTGTCACTATCAGTGCAGAAAGTTTCCATACACTTACATGAGAAAACACCCTGGAAGATGTCTTTTGCACTCTACATATTAAATTTCTAGGAAGTTGGTCCAATTAACTTGAGATTGTGAGTATTAGAAGCTAAAACCTTATTTACCAAGAGTGGAAACAGCTAATGCCATGCACGTCTAATGAGGAGAAAATTACACAATATTAAGTCAAACTTGAAACTTTAGGATGCAATTAGAATTTTCCATAAATTTTGCTCAACTACCCAAAGTAGTTCATATAAAAATCTCGTACCAGAATGGCAAACACCAATGTGATTTGGAATTTTTTGAGGGAGATTTATGTAACATTAAGTGGGGGAGGCAACTAAAGCCTGATTGGTGTAACTTGGTGATGGTACAGTGTACAGATTTTCCTGGGCCTTCTCCCAGAGCAGAGCACCATGTCCAAGGGTGTCTCTGGAGCTCAGTCTTCAGCAGCAGCTCCTCCAGCTTCCTCATCCATGCTCAGTCTTCCTCTCGGCTGAGCCCTTGGCATGGAAATGGTGGGCTTGCTTCCAGCCTGTCTCCTCCACACAGCTGATCTTAATATTGGGCTTGTAGTTGTCCTTCTTAAATTTCTGGGTGAAGCCATGGTACTCTCCTCTCCTACTGTGTGATCTGTATACCAGGACTTTATCACCTTTACATGGAGACCCAGCACTGAAGCAGATGCCTGTATGGTGGCATCATCTGGGAGGTGGGTCTATCTAGACATCCCTCACTACTTCAGTTGACATGGACCATTGTTGGTATGTGGCTGGTTAACCGCAGTGCTGTGCTTCAATCTGCTGCACAATCTGGGCTTTCAGTTTGGGTCCCTATGGTGGTTTAGAAGAGATGGGATATCTGTCCCGGGGCCTGAGTTGAGACCTGAGATGGGGGTGTCCCTGTGTATCTATGCTACAGATAGCTCTGCTTGTAGTCAGATGAATAAAATCAGTGACTCCTAGGTGACTCTGCAAAGAGCCAGTCCTTGGTCTTTCTCTAGGACTCCCTGGGCTTCTGGCTAGGTTATGTTGGCCACCTGTATTCCTCTTCAGAATCATGGCTCGATAGATTCCTTGATTGCCATACTAATTTTGGGATGTGCATAAAACAGGCAGAGTCATCCAAGATACTTCCCTCAACCTCCAGGATCCAATTTAGCTTCTTAGGTAAGCCATAGCTAGCTAAGTGATACCTTTGAAAGTTTCATAGTCTCTGGACACAGCTCCTCTTGCCTCAAGTTCCAGTACTGGAGCACGATCAGCTCTCTGCCCCTGCATCTGATATTACTTTGGGGCTGGGCATTGGCTTTTCCATGGACTGCACCAATGCTTTGCACCTGGCCTTCATGTGTAGAGCTCCTGCCGTGTTTCCTGGGAAAATGCTCAGGCCACCAAGTGTTAACTGACATTATGGGAAGGACTCAAAGGATGTCTTGGGAATTAGACTGAGGATAACTTAGGAGACAGAATCCATGTGTCCTTTATGCCTGTAACTCAGACAGGGTTAGGAAGCTAAGCGTAGCATGTACTGTGGCATCCTTAATTCTGAAACTGCCAAAGACCTGGCAGACGAGGCTTACGCTTTAATAATCTGCAACAGCGAAACATTTTAGAGCTTTCAATGAATACAGGCTGCTGTAGCACATGTGCTGTTGTAGGGTCACAAACACTGACCTAAAACATGGTACAGATCTCAGTGCACAGTGGGCTGGAGCTCCTCAACCAGCTGGCCAGACCCTGACTTTGTCACACAACTACTCAGTCATTTAAGGAGCTCGCACTGACCTTGAGTCCCCCCCCCCAACTCCCTATACAGAAAATGGAGTCAAATGCCTTTCTTGCATTTTAACAGAAGATTCTAGAGTTTTTTATTCAAGTGTGGTGGTAAAGTCTGTGTCCCTTTTTCATATGGCATCTCGCAGCCAGAAATCAGAAAGTGACTCTTGAACTTGACACCGACTAGAGAAGCAGTAGAAATGCTTGATGCAGGAAAACAAAGCTGAGAGAAGCAGAGAGTTGTGCTACTGTCTAAGGTCCTGGTATCTGGAATAGCAGCACCTAGGCACTTGAGCTACATGTGTTTTCACAGTGTTTTGAACTGAGCCCCACCTCCTTGGGACCTGAGCTGGCACCTGAGCCTTGCCTATTTGGACTTTACAGTTTTCTTTGGCATCACATTTGATGTTTAAAGTTTTACCAGTGCTCTGCCAGTGCTGTTTCTGTGTAGTGTGCTTTTCGCCCATCAAGACTACAGCACCTGCTTTGAGGAAAAGTACAGGGAGCTGTGTGGAGCCAGGGCCTGCCTGTTGTAACAGCTGCAGTGCAGTGTGCAACTTGGCATGGTCAAACACATGTTCCACTGTAGCTGATCTGTCCACATCTCGACGCACTTGATGGTGATGGTTCAGTACTATGAGTTCTGTACTCAGCATTTGTGCTCAACACTTACATTTTAGAAGTCAAAAGAACATGGCCGGGGCCACCTTGTCAGGCAGAGCATCTAAAACCCATGAACCCTCCAGCACGCAGTGGCTGTCATTCTCGGTATCTGCCAAGTGGTGGCTGCAACATTCCTGTGACGGTGATGCTAAGCATGCTAGCCGCCAGCTGTGGTGCAGTCTTCCACAGATGGGCTAAGTAGCTTTGGCAGCCGCCTTTAGGATTGGAATATAGTTTCTGCAAAATAGATCAGAGTGTTAACATGGGGGAAAGAGCTCTACTAAAATCCAGGCACTGTTTTTCAATCTTGACGCGGTGCAGGAGGCTCCTCTCCTGGAGCAGATGGGTCCACCCTGACCCAGCTTCCATGGGACAGATGTAGATGTATATTCTGCCCACATGGCACCTCTTGTTTTCCAAAACATCCCAAGGCAGTTGATTGAGACTGCTAGAGATTTGGAACACCTACAGCAAAGGTGCCAAAATCTTTGGCTCTGGTTCTCTGTACCATATGAGCCAGTAGGAGTCCAGGCTCTGGTTTGGACATTCAGGTCCCATCCCTCATTAATAGGACTGTATTTTCAGCAATCCAGCTTCCTTTATGGTAAAGAGCGGGGCTGATGAAGGCAGTCTCATCTCTTAGGGGCATAAGCCTGAAGCTGCCCTTCTGCCTCTTGTAAGGAGAGTGCTGCTCCATCCACTGCCTGACTTGCTGTCTTGTTAGACTGACACAGGCCCAATGGACATGAATGTTGTGCTTCCATTCCAAAATACTGGTGCAGTGATGGCCATTACTATCTCCTGGGCATTGCTGTCCCTGCCCTGGGATCTGCTCTGTGGGTCAGAGGCCTGGAGAAATCTATTCCATTCTGGTGTTTTCCTCTTCTGCTTGGCCATTCATCCATTCTGTTTCTTGTTCCTTTTATAGATAGATTTTTGTCTTACCTCATGCCAAATGCAAATGAAAGTAGAAGAGTCTCGTGTTATGAGGTACTTGTTGAGTTTGACCTTTACCCAGTGTCCATGAGAAATGTCCTGAGTCAGAGTTTTGGAGACATAAACATTCACTTTCCCTTATTCCAGGTGCTCTTGTTTTTCCTTTGATCACACCTGGTGGACATTTGTACACTTTTCCTGATCACTGATTCCTATGGATCTCGATGTAGACTGCTGTGTATTGCAAACTCTGAGAAGCAGATAGGCTATGTAGGGAACCTCTTAAGTCTTCCTCCCCTGGGCTTGTTGTAAGTGGTCTGTGTGCACTTTGGTTTAAAGTTACATTAAACATTAGGGTCTCCTTAAAGCTCTTGCTGTTGATGTAAATTTCCTTTGAGAAGTCACCACTTCTGTTTAGGTTTCATTTCTGGGAGAGATGTGTTTCTGATGTCAGATTTGTCCAGTTCTCACCACCTCCCTGCCCTCAATAGATGAGCTCATGCTTGTTTTGCTTTGGATCTTTGAATTTTCTAGAATATGATTCATGCAGCTATTTAAAAAATCCCAGCATCAGGTAACCCAGTTTTGGAGGTCCAAGTTGAAGGACCTAAATATGAACAGTGTTCTTACTCATCTTGCATACTGCTAGGATTCTGTTAAACAGCCTGGCAAAGAGATCTCCACGGTTCTTATCTGTCCCTCTTGGAGAAGCTGCTTATGCCACATTCATGTTTTAGGTTCTCCTTCAGTTCCTCCAGTTTCATGGAGAATCCGTGAACTCTCTGAAGCGAGAGTGCTTGTGAGCTTTTTGACTTCTCACTTTCATCTTGGCTCCAAGTTGGAGCGTCAATGATGAGCTGTTCCAGGGTAATCATAATTGTACCCTGTCAGACAGGCTCAAGAGGTGACCTGGCGAGGCAGCATGAACATGGAGGCCGGAGGGCCGGGCTCTCGTTGGCTGCTGCTATGAGTGCTATTCTGGTAGAGTCCTTCATGATTTTACAATCTTCACAAATTTGTAGGCACGGCGTTGTTTCCTGGCTATGCATGGATGGACCCTATTGGAATGGGAACCATCCTGGTCACAGCCCCATGCTCCTGATAGAGATAGGGAGGGTACTGGGCCATTGGTGTTAGCCAGACCTGACTCTGGGGATTAAAAGGTGACTGCCATCTTTTTACTGTCCTTATTTGCCCAACACAAGTGTAAAATTTTGAGCAAGATCAAAATGAAGCCCAGATGCGATGAATTCTAACTATAGTAGTGCCTCCCGTGTAAGAGAAACTTGCAGCACACAGGAAATCATTGGAGGCACAGGCCCCACAGTAACGATGCCTGAGTTGTGCTCACCAGTTGAGAAATGATGCAGAAAGTGCTGTCATAGCTTTCCTAAGATTGTGCCCCCAAGTACCTCTGAAATTCCCCATCCTGTCCTTTCAGTAAACATTTCACAGGGAGGAATGCATTCTTCATTTGTTATCCTGATACAAACATAATTGCTGGGGGAGGGATATGTTTGATCCATGTAAATGGAATCCTTTAGTGGCACTGAGTGTCTAGGCTTGGTGCTCAGCTGTATTTGACACCATGTCTACACGATGTCTCCCTGGTGCAGGTGCAGAGAGCCATGGAGGCATGAGGATCTTCAGGCTCACTGTGCCCTGTTTTATAGCTGTCATGTGATTCCCCTCCCTGAGCACCTTGATAAAGTGGTTCCATCAGCCAGCCAGATGTCCCATGTCATCTAATTCTATGGTCATTGAGTTGAGCCCAGGACCCCCCTACCCTATGTGTTATTCCTGGATCTCTGGTCCTTCACTCCATGATTCTTGGAACCTTCATTCTCACAAGTTGAAGTTGATATAAAAAAATTCCTTAAGCCATCCTGTTGTCAACTTTGGTGTCTTTGTTTTTTTTCCTTGCAGAGCTCTTGAGACCCCTGACCTCACTGGGCTGAGTTATTTTCTGAGAGCTAATCATCAGGTCCTGTGCCCCTTCACCACTGGCAGCAACGTCTAAATTTACTTTTGATCTGTGACTCTGAGGCTGCAGAACACAAACTTGGCTGGGGATGTGTTCTTTTCCTGGATGCTCCCTTACTCTGAGGATGGTCATGTGTGTTAGCAGGGCATATTTGCTGGTATCTGCACCTCCCTGTATGAGGCTCACAGGAGGAGTGGAGACAGATAGTGCCTCTGTTTGCAATGATGACTCTGATTGCGTGAATGGCGACAGCTTCCACTGACTCTCTTCACGATGTTGATTATTTCAAGAGCCCCAGACAATGTCCACCATAACTTTTCCAATGGGGAAAAATTTTGTAATAAAGATGTTCTTTTTCTGGAAAGAATTCAATACAAATTCAGTAAAATCACAATATATTTGCTACATTGGGTTCTTCTATAGTAATTCTGATGATCCATCAAGAATAGCTTGAAAGCAAAAAACTTTGTGTAATGTTAGGGTTTTTTTTTTTTTTTTTAGTATGAATTTTCTTATCTAATAAGACAAAACCTCACAGGCTGCCCCACACTCCTCCCACTCCTAGTTTTGGTCAAAACTTTTGATATGCCCATGACAGAGCCCACACAAAGCTGTAAGGTATTCCTGTCTGAGAGCGTTTGATTCTCAGTTGGATGGCATGCAATGAGTTGCTGTCTACCTTCTTCTGAATGTGTGCCACACTGGATCTGGAGGGACCCTTTCTAGCTGGACACTGTTTTTTTTTTTTCATCTAAAATTCAGTGATGATCTCCAGGCATCTGTTTTATGATTCAGTTTATTGTATGCTTTCTGTCCATTCATTTTTCTTTGATATTCTGGTTACATTTATTGCATGGGTCTGGGGGTAACTCACAAATTGAACTGTCAGAACTGAGTTACAAATCAGTAAGTTATAGTAGTATTTGTTACTGTGCCTAGGTAAGAAATACTAAACCTGAGGAATATATCTATTTTTCTGAACTTTATTTTCTATTGTAGTACCAGGTGTCTTGCGAATAGAAAAGGATTTCACAGCTGGCCTGCTGTGACAGTGAAGTTAGGACCTGGTGAAGACACTAGCATAGATTGTCTTACGGAAGCCAGGGTAAGATGAAAAGGAACAGGAATCTGTTTATTTTCCTGTCTTGGTTGTGGAATCTTGGTGGTTCAGAATCCTGACCTAATTTGGTCTCATAATGTGGCACAAACCTTAGTAAATAACTATGCAGTTGTTTTGGGGCTTATTGTCTCAAACATTTAAAGGACTGATGGGACAGAACTCCAGGCTAAAATAATTGGGATGAATCCCAAGTTGTGAACACTGAGCAGTTCATTTCCACATTTCTGTCCTTGTCATTGTTCTCTGTAGCTGAAATACGGAAATCAAAAGGTCTTTGCTTCTCAACCTCCTGTTCCATAGTTTTAGCTTGGGGATGAGCTGTTGTGGTGAGAATGAATCAGACCGACTGGCCCTGAATCTCTGACTTCCTGGAGTCTTTTTTCAGTTGGGAGTGGAGTTGAGGAGGGATGAAGGTACCAGTTTTTTCCAATCCAAAATTCAGAAGGTGCCTTAATGCTCAGGATGAGGGTTCCCTGCCGAAGGATCAATCTACCTTTCTCTTCCCAAACTCTGCCCATGTTTCCCCACCCTCTGCTTTTCTGGCTCCACTGGGCTGCCACACACAAGGTCTTAGACTTTGTTCTGATTCTAATCAGAAGAATACCAGCGGCCAGTGGGGTACTAGTGCAGTGGAAATGTGTGTGTCTGCATTTCCTGATTCCGTGCTTGCCATTAGAGGCCTGGTGCCTGAAGAGTACCTTTGGGGAGAGTGCTGAGACTATGCTGAGGCGCAGAACTGTGATGTGAACGTTGCTGTAATCCTAGATGAATTTAAAGAAAGCTGGAGTTACCAAGTACTTTGGAGAGCCTATGGACATGTTGAATTCCCTGAACACAAATGACTAAGTATAATGAAGGCCTTGGTTACTTTTTACTGAGACACAATACCCAATGCCCACAAGGAAAGCTTTATTTGTTCCGTGTGTAGATGTTTCAGTACACAAGTGACAGGCTCCAAGGCAGAGGCATGGCAGAAGAGCATTGTAGAGAACAATTGATGGCAGGAAAAAGACAGTGAAAGGGACCTTAACAGCTTTTTTAATGCCCCTTTTATATTCTATCTAGGTTACCTAGATTACCAGGGTAGACAATCTAGTCAGTGAACTGGTTAGTAATCACCCCAACTTGATCCTCACAGCCTCACCCTAGCACTGCACTAAGAGTCAGTCACACTCTAGATCCAGCCACCTGTGAAAAACATGACTCATGACCATGTGAGTCTTTGGGGGGGGTTTAAACACAAGCCATAAAAGGGATCCCTACAAGAAATTTCCAGTGGGAAGTAGATGTCCTGTCTTAAGCCATTGAAGCACTTTTAGTCAAGGAAGATGGACTTATCAGAAGCCTGAATTCCTGGAACACCTTTCTAGTGTAGTGTGACTAATAACCTGTGTAATATAGAATAAAATTGGTATGTGAGCTCCATTTGGGAGAAGTTGAGTTCTGTGAGCCTCTTTGCTCCTTCACACTTTTTTTATAGTACACCATACAGAGGAATGGATATGGAATCCTCATTTCGTCCCATTGGGTCAGGGATGTGACAAATACACAGCTCAGAGGAGCCCGAGTAAATCTGGGCTCTATGATAGAAGTATTGCCTTGCTGCGGGGCAGGGATGAAGTCTAACAGAAAACATGTACTGAATTTTCTGTTGTCAACCACGTTACAGCTACTCTGACTTAACTGAGTCTAGTTAATGCCCTCACGCGTTCCCCCCCCCAGATCCATTCACCCTAACGATACATCCCATAGATTTATTGAAGAAAGGATTTTTTTCACTCAGCAGTTGCCAAGTCATGGGTCTGTTTGAAATTCTTCCCAAGCTTTTTCTTAGTTGTCAAAGGGCCGGCATGGAACAATTCCATATCTGATATCAGGAAACACAGGATCAGGGCTTAGAAGCTAGGCAAATGTCACATCACACACTGGAAGAACTAGGAAGTGCATTTGGTTTGGTTCCTCCAATCCCATTGTCTTTACTCTTGCACAATTCATTTGCTTTAAGGATGTATCAAACGGGAAAAGGGAAACTTGTATTTATATTAGAGTTTTCCAAACTGAATGATCTCTTTCAATATTTCTTTAGCTACGGAAACTAAGATTTTTAAAACTTCTGTTTGGGATGGTATAGCAAAAAATGATGAACCAGCTATGACTTGGACCCTTGCATGCACTCTCCTGGGATCTGGTATGAGCTCACTCATGGAGTCATGGTGGACTCAACCTTGAGTTCAAGGTTTTGGTGCCACTCGTGGCACTACTGGAGCCAGCATGGTGAGAGAGACAAAATGTTCAGTCATTTACCTGGATGGTGCTGATATTCTAGGGAATAAAGAGAAGAAAAACTTGGACAGAATAAAGAGAAAATGGCTTTCAATGATCCCTTATGTTTGAACCTTTTGAACAGCGCTCTTTCCAGAATGGCTCAACATGAGTAGAAAAAAGTGACACATAGCAAAACACAGTGTCGGTTACAGGTTTGAACCTCCACTGTCAAAATCTGTTTCTCTGCTTATTTGCAGTATTTTGGTGTGCATTCTATCACAGTCATTCTGTGTAGAAATATTCTAATGAATTTTGTATGTACTGGGATCTACAGTAAACTCTTCTGGGTTGTAACAAACTATTGGTGTAATAGGACCCATCTAGGAAATACAAGTATGGACCTTGTCTCTTTAACTCAACTTTGAAAGGGAATCAGGCGTTTTAATGAATTCCTGCTCTCATCACTCTTTGGAATTTACCAAAGCAGAGGGAGAATTACAATCACCCTGTAGCTCCTAAGATGGACATTGCTGGTATCACTGACTTAAAAAGATCCCTTTTCCTCTCTGTGTTCACACAAGTTCCTCAGGCAGGTTGAGGCAAATCAGTCTACACGTTTCCAAAATGAACTTGGCACCATGGGTGCTATGTCTTTTTTAGCCGTGGAGCAGAAGTCTTAACCACTGGTCCTTTATGGCTTTCTCTTCTTACTGTCCCACAGACGAAATACAGGAGAGGTGAGATCCCTGGGATTCATGCTGAATCCACATGGCTTGGTATCCTCTGACCTCTTTACCGCAGTCTCATAATTTTACTTGTTATGGAAATGCTCAGTAATCAGTGCAAATCCAAACTGTTCCCAGAAACAAAAGAGAATGAAAGTGTGGCAAGGTTATGTAGCTTCCTCCTCAAGCATCAAGATCCCTTGGAATTGATTACTAGGAGTTTGGAGTTCTAGAAATGTGTTCAAAACCATCAACTACCTCAGTGTAGAAAGCCTAGCAATTCTATATAAAGGTGTGTTTTATTACTGTGTTTCTTGGCAAGATAAGTGCCTGTCTTCCCAACCTAAGCCCACCAGGCCTCTACCAAGCAGGCAGAGCACAATGCCCGGGTCTGATTCACTGGCAGGAAGCCCTAGGTTCTTCCCTTGTGATGGCTTTAAGAGGCTGTTTGGTGATCAAGTTTTGGCTGGATCAAAAACCATGCTGTGGGCGTCCATGTACATAGCCATTTTCTTTGCAATCTACCGTCTCTCACAGAAAAAGTGATGCTTTTTGATGTCACACATCTTAGTTGACATTATTTAGACTATTCAAATACATACTGGAGCAAAGTCAGGTTCAAATGTTATCCAAACTTGCTCCAAACTTGCTTCAGATGCAGAGGGTAAAATGTGCACCTGTCAGCAGGGGGAGGGGTCAGTACCTGAGAACTTGGTGTTCTCAGACCACTTTGTTGGTCCTGCATATAGAGCCATTTTATAGAGGGTCAAGGCTTTTGAGTTGGCACAGTGAGCCTGTTTGCTATGGTTTCATTGTGTAAAGAAGGAAGAAGAGACAGATTGGGCAGAGGAAGCTTGATCACAGTGCAGCAGGAGTTGTGGGGCCCTGGTGAGCAGTTCTGAATGGCTCCAGTGTCCTTTGTCATGAGTGTATGTTAGAAACTTGAAGTCCTACTTCTCAGATTCCAAATCTGACCATGCACTATCAAAAATGAGCTCTAGAAGTTTGGATCTAAGCAATCCTTTTCAGAGTCACGTATGCATTCTTCAGTCCCTGTGTTTGCACATTGAAGCAGAGCTCTCCTCAGGGTGTCGTGCCCCACTCAGTCTCCTGAATGGACATTCAGGCCAGGCTAAGACTGCCTAACCTTGACCTGGCAGCAAGAGTGTACATTTACTCATTATTGATCCACCAGCCTGGAGACAGTAGGATACAACATGGATAGCACTGTCCTCACGCTACTTTGGTCACGCTCATGCTGAAAAATGCTCAGTGAAAGGCATAGTAAACTAGTGGGGGAAAGGAACCTTTGCATCCTCTGAGTCTCCCAAGGAGCTCTGTGGACAACTGCTTGTAAGTGAGGTTTTTCTTGGGTGCATTAAAGTCTGGGGTATAACATTTGAACCTGACTTTGCTCCAGTATGTATTTGAATAGTCTAAATAATGTCAACTAAAATGTGTGACCTCAAAGAGCATCACTTTTTCTCATTCCATGGGGCTCACATGACACCCAGTCTTCCAGCCTTGGAAAAATTTCTGGATTATGAAGGTAATGACGGCCTGGATCTGTCCATGTCCCTCAAGTTATACCATGGTTGGTCACAAGGAACACTTGAAAGCCATTTACTATGCCTTCTGAAGATGGTAGTCTTCATCCATTTGTCTTCTCATACAAAATTTTATTTTACAATGTCCTTTATCCCTCCAAGATAGGCCATATTTAGCATATCTGGGAGTGACTGTCAGAGACCTAAGTTCTGAGTAGGAAATGTGCCATAGCTACTTAGATGAGGAATACTAATAGAGAACTGTATCAAGTCTCAGTTGTAGACTTATTTCCAAGCACAGTACCCCAAGGCTTTTTGGCCAGGGGAAAGATACCTAGCATCTCACAACTAGTGACAGGGAATCTAGAGCCTGGAGAAGCTCTCCCTGAATTCTAGTTTGAAGGCAACTCCATAATAACAAGTGAAAGCACAGTAAACTTGCCTGCCCTTTCGTGTTATGGTCCAGAGAGCTAATGATCTTTGCATCTGTCATGGACCAATCAGTGACTGAGTAGTGTCTTGGCTTCTAGTTCCTGCCCTAGGCAACAATTCGCATGACAAAATTTCAGTAAACCCTGGGCAAACATGCTCTGAGCACTTGTTCACTTCTAAGTCCCTTCAGACCACTTCTCTGTAGCCAATATTATGGGATCGAGAGCTGTTTATTTCTCAATGTCCAGTCCCATGGTGCCTTTGTCAATCCCTACTAGAGGTCATATGTGGCAGAGCTTAAAGTGATTCTCCCTGGGTTGGGGACCCAAAGCATCCAGTGAAAACCTGAAGCCCATGGCAAAATCCTGTCCAAGTCCTAATAGGCAGCAGTATCCTTGCTGGGGAGACCAGAGGATATATGGCAGAAAGGCCGAAGGGTCAGTGCTGGAAGTTTAAGTGTCTGTGCTTAAAGGCTGAGGGACATGCATTGGAAGCCAGGAGAATGATTCTCAAGATGAATATGAGAATTGAAGTAGTCTCAAAAATGGCCAAAAGGCTGAAATTCCTCTGAAGAAAATCAGTCACAATGAATCAGCAAAGAAAATGAGCCAAAATCTTCAGCTTTTTTTCTCCTATGGTTTTTCCACATTCCTCAAAGTGGGTTTTTCATGCTCAGAAGTGTTGGTGTGACTCTAGACTACTGGTCACTGACCACAGACTGCATGCAGGAAGCCAAAGTAAGTTTCATGTTGTCGCTTCCATTCTGCCTCTGAAGTGATGGACCTCTGACTGGAGAGGGACCTCTAGATACTACTGGCCAATCTGCCTTCATACTTGGAGGCCAGAGATGGAATCCTGGCTTTGTGAGTGAAGTTCTTGAGGCTACCCAGTGCATAAAGGGGAAAGCAAGATTCCAGTTGAGCTTCAGAATATGTGTTCCTGCTTTGTGCCACTACCTCTGACTCCTGGGCAGCATTTATGCAAAGTATATTCTTGACTTGACAGAAAGGCTGGCTGGCTAGGTTCTGGGAGAAGGGATATGGAAGAGGGGCTCATGGTTGGTTCCTTTTGTTTCATCCAGATCTTCTATCTTTAAATCAGATGCCCTCCCCTAAATTTAAAGACCCAACCCAAAAATGGCATCTGAGATAAATTTGTACTTCTCAGCTGAAGTACAAACAGAAAGTAAACATATGAAAAACAGTTCATCTTTGGTCACTCAGGAGGGGTGACTTAAAACAATCCTGAGATTCAATATATATGGCTATTATAAAAACAATCATCAACAAATGCTAGTGGGGCTGGTGGGGGAAAAGAACCCTTCACTGTTGGGAGAACAGACTGGTGCAACCACTATGGAAATCAGTATGGAAATTCTTCAGACTAGGATGAGAGGTCTCATTTGACCCAGCTATTTCCCCTTTGATATCTTCCCAAAGGGATTAAAAATGTATCATACCATAGTAATATATGCAAACCCATGATTATAACAGTTGGTAATAGCTACATCTTGGAAACAGCCCAAATACCCATCAATGAGTGGATAAACAACTTTTATACAGTCATAAATGATACACGTGAGACATTTATAGCTATAAACAAATGGATCTTGTGAGCATACTAAAGTGAAATAAATTGGAGATGTTTAAATATCCCATTCTTGTATGACAAACTGAAAGTTTTAAAAATCATCGTATAATACTATGAAATGGGAAGAAATTTTTCAAAAGGAAACTAGAGAGGGGGAGAAAAATGAATGAAAGAAAAGGATAAAATGGAAACAATTTTGTAAATCAGGAGAGCAAGAGGGGCTGAAGACAGAAGGGAATGGAAAGAGGAGGGTATCTATCATGTACCGGTCCAAATACCCTGTGAATGTGATCATGTTGTGGCAATAATAAAAATAATACTTCTGAGCAGAAAATGGGCCTAAACCATGGGTTCAGTTTTTCTGGCATAACATTTTTGCTTCTTTGGAACCCGAGTTATTTCTTTCATCAATATGCTCTTTGGAAGGCTCTCATCTTAGGAAAGCCAAGGCTTGAATCCACTTAGTCAATCTTGGGTGTGATGCTCAGAGTTTGATAGACCGGAATGAAACATCTGTCAGTGTGAATAAACTTAGCTTTAATAACTGCTCTTATTGATCAGACCTGTGTCTTTGTTCAATATTTGATCAGGGATTTGGATAGATTGAGTTGTGGTGCCCAAAACCCTCTCCCTGTGGACATGCTCGATTAATCTATGCTCTGATGCCCTCGTCCTCCAATACACTGACAGTTTCCATCTGCAAAGATCCTCCTCTTCAAGAGTTAACATAATGGACTCATGCAGTGGTCTTCCTAGAGTTTTATTTAGGACATCATGAACCTTACAACTTCTGCCATCTGAGGTGTCCTATTTTAATCTTTGAGGGGACTGCTGGAGGAGCTGAAGAGTAAGCTTGCCAGGGGCTTGCTGGCGGTTAAGACCCAAAGTCCAAAGTCACTAATTGAGACATTTCTTATCGTGTTATCATCCTTATCTTGGTAGTTCCTGGTTCAATAACCAAATTGTAAAGGCTTTTCATAGTCCTAAAGTATCTTCCAAGGCCTCATCACAAAACGGAAAGCTACAAGAGATAATCCAATAAAACTGGATTCACCAAGTGCTCCTGGGTCAGGCAGAAATGAAATACTCAGTGTCCTGTGGCTCCTGATGTGTTCTTGTGGGTCACTTCGGCTTCCCCAAATGTGTAAACTCACCCATCAGAACAATTGACCATGAACTGAGGGATACTTGGCAACATACCTGGCAAGAACTCTTCTAAATGGTTAACATGAAGGCAAGCAAAAGTAGGTATGACGTAGTATCCAAGATTCTCTTCTGGAATGTGATTTACCAGGGGAAACAAGTCCAACAATGCAACACAGTTAATGTAGTAATAAGGTTTGTCTGGTGACCGGCTGTTAGGTATTAAGGGAACCTGATGAAGTGAACATGAGAAATCGGTCATTCTGACTCTGCAGGTTATATCTGGTTAGATGGATGGCTAATAACTTGGAGACGACAACTCCTGTAGCACAGGTCTATCTGTTCAAGCTCTGATTTTCTTGGAGGTCTGACCTGGTGTGGCTCCCAACTTGATAGGAGTTGAACAAAGTGGCACCCTGGTCTTTTTCCTTGTTACTATGACTTTGGTGTCATTGAAAGTGGGTGTCTTGATGTCTCCAGCCTTGCCCATTTTACTCAGCATTGCCTCGGCTCTGCTGGGTCTCCTGTGTTTCAATGTAAATCTTCCTGGTACTGTGAAGAATGTTACGGGATGGGAATTCCTATGGAAACTCAACTTGGATTGCTTTTTATAGTAGCCATTTGAATAATGCTCTGCTTATCCAAAAACATGGGAGATCTTTGTCACCTAGAAATTGTTGCCTATAAGTCTCAGGAAACGGAGGTAGAAATCTCTTGCCTCCTTGGTTAGGTTGATTGCTAGGTATTTTCTCAATCTACTATAAATGGAATTTTCTCTTGGTTTCCATCAATAATAAACTGGTTGAGAGCAAGCAATCTTTAAATGTTGACTTTTGTATCCTATTTTGCAGAAGTTTGTTTTTTGGTGGAGTGCTTAGGGCTTAAATACAGCATTTTATAACTTTCAAATAAGGATAATTTGTCTTCCTTTCTGACATACATCCTTTTTTCTCTTACCCAGTTGTGTTATGTAAAATCTCCAGTACCACATTGACTAGAAGTGGTGAGAAAGAACATCAATCTTTTCCTGATTTTTGAGGAAGTGGTTGGTTTTTATCCATTCAGAAACAGTAAAGGGACAACATCATACTGAAGTGACAGTGGTGTCAGCTTTAAGTGAACTCAGATTGTTTTTCATTTGAGCAAATGGAAATTAAGGGAATAGATGAGTAATAATTGCAGCAATGACAGTAGCAGTGCTGTTGGGAAAAGAAAGTTCTATGCGTTAAGGCCAGGACCCTAAATTGATTCTGAAGAGCAAATATTCTGAAGCCAGATGACTCAGAGCTGAGAGGATGTCACGAACCAGTGAGGAACAACACCTGTGCCGGGAGGGACAGTTGTCTTAGAACCACACTGTGATGCGTGTATTGTGCCTCTTGTGACTTAATTGAGCAGACTGTTTGACCTCTTAATGTTGGAGACTCACTGATAACATTCCACCACCAGTCCAAGATTGCTGGTATATTTGTATGTGGGCAACAATCAAGCCTTTATGCATCATCCAGTGAGTAGTTTAATGTTCTAAGGTGGTAAGTTCAGGGCTCGCTGCATAGCCATCGTCTGGTAGCATGAAAGCAGAAAGACTTGCAAAATGGGATTATGAAGATTTTTGTCCTGCTTCCCATTATCTGTGGTCCACTTTAGCCTTTTGATTTCTCAGAATGCAATATTTAAAGACCTGTGTCCCGTTTCATTTAAAAACTTATCTAAGAGAAGAGGGCAGGGAGTTGAAAGAGGATGTAAGGAGCTCACAGTGCAGCACAGCTGGCATTTAATGAGATGCGGGAGCCATGGCTCCAACACAGGGCATGAGTGCAACTCCTGAGCCAGCCAATTCTGAGGGGGAAGTAAGGTACGCTCAGACCAGGACATGAATTTTTTTAATGATCTTCACAGGGCTCTGCAAAAGTAATACTATTAGGAGTTAGAGTGCCAACATGCAAAGTGACAGGGGTTTAATTGAGGTCTCATTTGTGACAAAAATGTAGGCATCCCTGGCACTGAGTGTAGGTTGATACATTCAGGGGCTCCACAATATTAAACACTTGGTCATAAACACATGCAAGAAGCTGTGCCTGTTATTATTGCCAGTTATTAGGCCATTTTCTGTTTCTTGTGGCTTCATCTACCTCAAACACATTGGTTGTAGGAAGGAGCTGTCCCCAAACTCCCTTGCTGGACCTTTTCAGGAAGACCATGATGATGGTCATCACTTTCTCACTAGCTGTTAAGTGATAACAGACTTCTGATTCTCTGGCTGGTCACCTAGTACCTGTCCACTGGTAAACCATGGGGCTCTTGATGTGTATCATAGATTTGAGTTGGCTGAGTTGTTACAAGTGTCCCAAACTCCTCAGGGTTGGATGCTGCATCACTTGAGTGGTACGGATTTAAGGTGCTAGATGTTGGGCTCTCTGCTTCATCCTCACTTAGCTGGTACATTGTGTACTATAGGGCAACCGGCCAAGAGTCTCGATTGTTAACAATGGCTGGGATGTCAATGTCCCTGGATCCATCTTCCTCCACTCCATAAAGGCCATGATTTGGTTGATATAGTGGTAGGCAGGACTAGCAAAGAATTACAACTTGGACTTCAACTCCAGAGGGCATTGGTAACCTTACATTTAAAATATCCTAAACCTGAAGTTATAGTCCTATGATTTAAGAAGCTGTAGACCTTACACTTAAATTACCTTGTCCGTGATTATCCTGAGGTAAGAAGGCATAGATCTTATGCTTGGAAGAGTCAATGAGAAATACAAGATGGTTGGTAAGAACCCCAATCCTTCCTTTCAACCTACAGGAAAATATGCAAAACCAATCACTGAACTTATGGTCCCCAACATTCTGTAGCCCAGAAAACCTGGAATGATCAATGGACTCTGCGGTGATGGTATCAGGAGTCTCCATCTATTGGCGCAATATGTGTAGAGCACCAGCGAGAGCCAAAGAAGGAAGCAGTGGTGCATCTCCCAGTACTGTAGGGTACTGCCACTCCTGGTGTCTGACATTAATATCTTGATGTTCTAGGTCTTGGAATGAGCACTGTACTCTCTGCACACAAGTTTGTGTGCTGATGAAAAGTCTAGATGGGTAAAGTCTTGAGTGTGGCATAAAAGCACCAGCAGTGTGAGCAGAAGCTCAAGGCACTTTTAGAATATTACTTGGTCAGCCCATCCACCAGCACAATCCATGCTGCAGGCAGTACAGTAGAGCCTCACACTGGGTGTTCTGTGGTGAATGAACCATAACCATCCTGTTAAGTGCTCTCCAAATTTGACTTTTAAATCATTTGACTTGAGTCTCCTTGGTATGGTGATAATCACACACGGGTAGCATGAAAGCTTTTTCTAGTTCATCAGCCATTAGACTATGATAGCTAAGACCCCGGAATAAAATCCAAGGAAGCAAGAAATTTAGAAATTTGGAACAAAGTCTTTATTTTAGGCCAGGCCTGGTGATGCAGCTTCCGGGAGCCAATATGGAAGATTGTGCACCTTACAGCTATTGGGTAGGGTTTTTAAAGCCCAAAACCACAGGAATGTTGTGAACTTTGACAGTTTGATAGCATCTGGGCTTCTTGGCATCTCCTGTAATTTCCTTGTGGTTAAACATTTCTTAAGGAACAGCAGCACATTTTATTACAGATAGGCAGGAGGGGGGGGAGTGGGATTTTTAACGCTGAAAACCGCAAAGATTTTGACCTATTTCAGATAACTTTCGTGGTACATTCTGATGGTCTCCGCGGTTAAATATTTTCCTGGAACAGCACACCTTGCAGGAGCATGTGTAATCAGGTTGGAGGGACTACAAAGAGCTGAAACTTAAGTCTTTACTTAAGACTTGAATGGAATTTTAATCTGTATTTAAATGGCACATACAGAACAGGAAGGAGGCACATTGGTTAGAAATAGGCCACAACAAGACTTTCCCCAAAAATTGGTCATCCACTGCATACAAAAGTGCCTTTCCAAGACACATATTCTTTCACCTTTGAATCATAAAGGGAACCATTGCTGGCAGAAAGTACAGCATACAGAGTGAAATTCCACATTGGAATTACTTAACAGCCTTCAGAGGGGCTTTTATAAAGATGAGAATGGTTTCAATATGAAAAAAATAGCATGGTGTCCAACCTAGGATGGCCCCAAACATATTGATACCTGGAGTCCTACTGGCAGGATGTCCAACATGAGGTTGGAGATGAGGATGGTGGTGACCATGGGATGTGGATGGAAAATTGGTGGTTAGTTACCAGCAATAAAGGTCATGAAATTCTGAACACCTGAAGAGCCTCCTTGTTGGCAAGTTTACTAACCTAGTGATATTGAATCTTGGGCTAGAGACTGAGCACTGGTCATTATCCTAAAGCTCCAGTTTATTCTGGTGCAAAGGTAGATCCATGCTTCAACTGGCCTCACTAATTTCTTTGATAAGTGGCTAGGAATGAGAGGAGGGGAGGCCCCCAGGAATGGCTCCCTTGCAATTCAGTTGGATTAATATATTTCAAGCACAGAACCTAAGTTGAATCTAAACCCTGTAGAGGCTTTAAAGCAGTTGGGAAAGAGGCAGGTCACTTGATCTGTCACAATCCCAGGGATGCTTCCATTGTTCCATAAGCAACTAGTATCTATTGGTTGTGACAATGGTTTGTAGTTTTCTGCAGATGGGACTACTTTCTGCAGCATCTCACATCTGCCTGAGATGGTTTGCAAATTAACTCTTCTTTTGCCACACTTTGCTATTCAGGCCACATATTAGTGTTTGCAGGAGAAACAGATTTAATGCAGGACACAATAATTTGCATGATTAGAGGACATTATCTGCCCACAGTGTCAAATGTAGAGTACAAGAGATCCATTCTCAAGGTAGAGGTGAAGAGTGAAGCTGAGGGCCTGAATCCCATGGGCAACATCTCCTCAATTCCACATCAGGATGCTGAGGATCTGAAACGGAAGACTAAAGGGTCTGTGCTGTTTCCAGTGGCTGATCCTGGAGGGTAGAATGTGTGGGCAGACTGGGAGGCTGGAGCTGGAAGCCAAAGTGTGCCAAAACCCAGGAGATAAGATGTCCAAGGTGAAAGTAAAGAGCAGAACTCTTCTGAAGGCAATAGCCATTTGTGGCAAGTGCACAGAGCAGTCAAAGCTTCTCTGAGGAAAATTGGCCCGAAACTTCCTGTCCCATTCTCCTCTTACACCTTGCTGACAAGTCCTCACATGGGTCTTCCACACCTCAACTGGGCCTTCACACTCAAGCTGACAATTAATTAACCACCGTGGGTGGGTTGCTGAGTTTCCTGACGGTTTTCCATCTGTGTTTTGTGTAGAGAACTAGTTAAGACAGACTAGTTAAGTGAGTCTTCTGGTGCGGCTCTTGAAACAATATTGTAGTTCTGGCTCATAAAATGAGTAGGGGGTGTGTTTCTGATAATTCCCAAGATGGTTCCCATCTATAAAAGTAAGATGCTCACCCAGAGTCATGAATTACAAGACTAAATCTTAGATGCCACAACTGCTTTGTTACAGTCTTCAGCTGCACTAGCAGATCCTTTCTGAGTACTTGCAAATGATGCTTAGTATTTCCTCTGGCCAAGTGGTTTTCGCTGCCTTATATTAGAGAAAGTTACACAAGGATGTGATAGGCTGATGCTGTTGCCCAAACTTGCAAGGGTTTGTTTGAAGTTGTCGTTTTTCTTTATTCTTCACTTTTGTGTTGACGAAATGAGAACTGCTTGCCACTCATGCAGAAATTCAAATTGAATGTTTGGAGTAAAGGTGTAAAACACAAGACACTTAAAACCCCAGCATAAGTAACCAGCATACAGAGACCCACAGATCAAAGACTATAAACCTGGCTCTGAACTTCTTGTTGTCCTGAATGTGAAGTCTATGGCCAGAACACACAGCAAGGCCATTCTGATGAGAGAGCTCAGACTCATAGCATACCCATGTCAATAGCTATTATGTTGACAGCCCCTGAAACAGGGCCGTCTCATTTCTTTAATCCATATG